GCCTGCTCTGCTCCCCGCTCTGGCTCTGGTGAATTCTCTCACCCTCCCGCGCTTCTGACTGTACCCAGTGCTTGTATCAATAAATAAATCTTTAAAAAAAAAAAAGAGACCATGCAGCTTTCATTTAAAAAATAAAATAAAATAAAATAAAATAGGAATATAACGGTGCCCACCTTGCGGGATTACTTGAAGAGGAGGAGAAGTAATGCACACGGGGTCCCTGGCATAGGGCCTGGCACCCGCCAGCCCGGAGAGCCGATGGGGCGAGCTCAGTCCGGTTGCTGTTTCTCTCATTCCGAGAAGAGGTGGATGGCGTGGCCTTTATTCCACCCACAGAGTAAGTGGCAGCTTGCTGGACGACGAGGTGCTGCTGTGGCTCTGAGAGCCTCTCCACCGCCTGTGAGATGGACGGTCGCTTCTCAGAAGCTAGGAAGGAGCTGGTTTAGCTGGGACTGTGATGTCTCCAGTTGTCCTTCTTCCCATGTTTGGTATGATGTTTGAAATGGTGGCTAATGAGAGCATCTGAAGCCGTCACCAGTAGCGATTTAAGGAAGCTTGTCTGGGAAGCTTGACATCAACAGGAAATAAAATCAATATCCTTCAGCACCTGCCTCTTCATTGGCCATTGTGGAGTTTTTAAAGCCCAGTGGATTTTCTTATTACAATAAGAAAGTGGCTTCTTGTGAAACATAAAATCGGAACCTCCCAGCCAGCAAGTTCATGAATTCATTCAATAAACACATTCTGGGGCCTCCCTGGTGGCGCAGCGGTTGAGTGCTGGGTTGCGAAGCTGCCCGCAGCCTCTGCAGCGCCAGTTCGATCCCCGGCTGCTCCCCGGCCACCAGAGGAGGGTCCCACATGGCGCGCAGACCTTTCCTGCCGCCCGCTGCTCCCCTCAGCAGTGTACTTCGGTCCTTCTGCCTGCTCTGCTCCCCGCTCTGGCTCTGGTGAATTCTCTCACCCTCCCGCGCTTCTGACTGTGCCCAGTGCTTGCATAAATAAATAAATAAATAAATCTAAAAAAAAAAACCCCAAAAAACACATTCTGAGCACTCAGTGCCCGCCCCCAAGCTCCAGCTGCTGCGGAACCACCCCAACCAGAGGGAAAACCACCCCTCTGGTTGTACAGGAGGAGGTGTTGGGGAAACAGAATTCAAAACAAAACCCGCCATCCCAGATCACCTTTCCACAATGGAGAGAAGAGAAAGAGACCAGTTTTCTTACAAGCACTAAGCCAAGATGTGATGCTCATGGCAGGCGTCCCAGCAAAGAGATTGCCGGCAGAGAACGCGCACCCTTCACGCTGCCGGGCACGTGCCCGGGTAGAGGACAGCGGGCTCTCAAGCAGGGCCGCAGCGTGTCACTGGTCACACGTTTCACCCTAAATCCACGGAGAACTGGGAGGCCACTTGTGCTTGCTAAGTGTCTCTCTCCAAAGGAATAATCAGCTTCCTGTGTCTCTGTGGTCAGCCTGCCCTGGACTTTCCTGGTGTTAACATTTCAAAGAGGGCTTAAGAAAAACATTCCAGCTTGGGAAAAAAAAAAACAAAAAAAACCAAACAAACCAGGCAAGAGGCTTTGTAGCCTTTCAAAAGCTTTGCACGCGGGCACAAAGGGGCAGGGAAGGAATTTGCAGCGACAGGGCCTGTGAAGGACCTGGGGCAGGGGAGAGGGTGGCCTCGCGTCCTCTGTTCCCAGGGAAAATGATCCGGTTTCATTTCCAGTGTGTTTTGCCCTTGCAAAGACAGGCGTCGAGCAAATAAACACAATCGAGTGGCAGGAAGTGGCACATGGGCGCAAAGGGCGGGCCGAGAGACTGAGCAGTGTGATTTGGGGGGGCTTCAGGGTGGCGAGGCCGCGGGCTCCGGCAGGTCCCTCCTGGCCTGGCAAGTGCGGGCCGCGCGCAGCTCCTCAGCCCCAGCGCTTCTCGGGTGTCCCTGCAAGGCTGGGGCGCGCCCAGGCCCCAGCTAAGGAGGAGCTGGCCGGCGGTGGAAGCGTCATGGAGGGGCTCTGGGGTAGGGGAGCCGTAGGTTTGCTTAGTTGCCCCTTTGCGAGAGGCTCTGAGGAGACCGGGAGGGAGGGAGGGCCCTGGCTGGCAGCTCCTCTCTGGGAGCAGCACTTTTTGCGAGTTCCGGAGGCGGCAGGCACTGGAGTCCCGGTGGGATCGCTGGCTGCGGGCCCCCAACAAGTTCGTTCTTCTCCCTGGGCGCATGTCCTCACCCGGGAAGTGGGGTGAAGTGGGGTGAAGTGGGGTGCTGGTACTGATTTCATGGGTGTGCTTGCGGTTTAAGAACGTTCAGTCCCGGCGAGGTCGGCGGTGACTCCCGGCGCCTGCTGTCCGGGTCCCGCCGCGCCCGCCCGCAGGACAGTCCCAGAGGCGACGCCCCGCACCCCCTGCAGCCCCGCGGGGCGCTGCCTACGGGGTCGGGGGTCCCGCTTGCCCCTGACGCAGCCCCGGGCTGGCACCGTCGCCGCGGGGGCGCGCACGGGCTCCAGGCCGCTGCGGGCGAGGGCCGGGGCGCCGGGGCCCTCGGCGACTGCGGGGGCTTCCCGGGCGGGGTCGGGGTCGCCCGGGGACCAGCTTGGGGGTCCCGGGCCGCGCGGCGGCTGCGACCACGCCCTCTGCAAAGGGGACCTGGGCGCGCAGGTGGCGCGGGCTCGGGAGCAGGCGGGGGGGGGGTCAGGGCGGGGAACGGCCCCCACGTCCGCGGCTGGAGCCCGGCGGGCGCACCCCAGCACCCCGGCACCCCAGCACCCCAGCACCCCGCGCCCGGCGCCTCGCCAGCAGATGGCGCTGCAGGCCCTCCCCGGCCCGGCCGCGCGCCCAGCTCGGGGCCCGGAGCCCGCGGAGGACCCGCGCGAGGGGCCGTTGGCGGGAAGCCCGGCTCCCAGGCCCACCCGGGGTGACCCCCGCGCTCCGCGGAGGCCTGGCGGGCGTGTTGCTTTGTTTCGCATTGCTTTTTGACTTTTTTTTTTTCATTTTTGTTGCACCAAAATGGGTCCACATTTATGCAAAATGCGTGGAGGGACGAGCAGATCATCTCCCAGGAGGTGCGTGAGCGCAGCGGGCCAGAGGAGGAAACACTCGTGTGAAGCCCCCTCAGCCCTTCCTTCTGGGATTCTCAGCCTGATGGGAAAAAACAGCAAGACAAGCACTGAGGAGATTGGATTTTGAAACAGAAAAGGAAAAAGGGAAAAGTGTGCTGACCTTTTCCATGCCTTTTCCTTTCACATCGAATTAATCAGAAGCACAAATGCTTCTGAATTAAGTGATTCATTCTCCCCTGTCACTTTATTTTAGAACAGTGACTTCTTAGTGGCCTCCACACACCCAGGGGACGAATACGGATGAACCTGAATATCACCAAATGTGGTTATATGTGGGCCTGCTAGACTTAAGCGGCCTGTTCAGCCACCGCTGTGGTTACCTGCAGTTCTGCGTTCCTACGCAAAGCTCAGAACTGTCCAGTCACAGTCATAGGAGCCAAACCTTGCAAGTCGCCTTTCATATCAATCAAGAGCAGAAAGCTGGGTCACTCTGGGAAGGGTGTGCATCAAGAGGTATGACCGGGAACACCTGGGGTGCTGAGGACAGATGCATAAACTCACTCCCGACTCATCATGAGGTATGACCAGGAACGTCCCAGGCACCGAGGACCAATGTATGACAAGGGACCCCAGAAGCTGATCAGTGGATGCCTTGTTGATAAGATTAGGACCATGGCCTGGGGTCTGGGGTTCAGTTTCGATGACAACACTTGGTCATCAAGCTGATATCATGGTCAGCAGACTCGAGTCCCCCAAGCCCTAGATGACATTCCTGAGTGTCCCCCATCCTTTTCTCCTTGTCCTCTGTGATTGTTCTATCAATAAAACCGGCCAGGATCTTGCTCTCAGCAGCATCCTGCCTTGTGCAGCTTGCTCCACGACTCCTGTGTCTTTGTCACTGTGATGTTGCTTGACGCAA